TGATCTGCCCTGCCTAAAGATAATACAAAATAAGAAAATGGGGATTAAACATATTATCTTAAAATCGTACTTTCATGCTTTTTAGGGGCTCCTGGGTGGCTCAGTTGGTTAAATGTCCAACTCTTGACTTTAGCTCAGGTCATAGTCTTGGGGTCGTGAGATCAAATCCCCTTTCAGGCCTATTTAAGATTCTCTCTCTCCCTGTTCCTCTGCCCCTCCCCACCCTCTAAAAAAAAAGTAATACTTTTTACTTATGTAACTTTTAAGGGAGCATATTTAGTGTGTATAGTGATACACAATTCTGATATTTTCCTTCATTTTTATAGAATAAAGAATGAATATTTGTTATAGCCCGTATCAAAACTGTTATCCATATACAAAAGTCTATTGGCTTTACCTGCAAATTAATAAATAAACATTGGTTTTAAGATTTAAACAAGTGGAAAGGCAGGTGCAGAAGTGGTAATGTTTATGATACAAAATAAGGATGGAAAGTTATGAAGGAACCAAATAATGAAGGGCCTTTTATAGGTCACTTAGTTTTCTATTGCTGCTATAACAAATTACCCTAAACTTAGTGGTTTAAAACAATACCTACTTATTATGTCATGGTTTCTGTGGGTCAGAAGTATGGGCACAATGTGGCTTAACTGGGTTCTCTGCTTAGGGTCCCACAAGGCCAAAATCAAGGGGTTAGCAGGGCTGTGTTCATTATTGAAGGCTCTGGTGAAGAATCACTTTGCGAGCTCATTCAGGATGGTGGGAGAATTCTGTACTTTCTCCTGCTTTCCATGTGGCCACCCTCATCTTCAAGCCAGCAATGATATAGCAAATTCTCTCATGCTTAGAATCTCTCTGACTTCCTTTTCTGCTGCTGCCTGGAGAAGCTTCTCTGCTTTTAACAGTTGGTATGATTAGATTAGTCCCATTCAGTGAATCTCCCTATCTTAAGGTCAACAGTGCAGTATAATATAATTTTGAGAATAGCACCAGGGGATGAAGATCGTGGGGGCCAAAATTCTGCCTTCCACAATCATGATAGAGTTCAGACTTTATTCTGATGGGCTTTGCGTGATTTTCAGTAGAGGAGTGATGTGGTCACATTTGTGTTTTGTAACAGTCAATTTGGCTGTAATGTAGACAAGGGTCAGTGTGGGGCCACTCTGAAGTTATGGGAAACCTTTGGAAGGAGTATCATTTGGGATTTGGTTATAAATAACAGAAGTCATGCTAGCTATGTTAAGAAGAAAGGAATTTAATACAGGGAGTAGGTGCTTAACAAAAAATTTTGGAAGGGCTGTGTCGCTAGGATTGCCTTCAAATGCTACCACAGAACCGGCCCACCAATGGCACTGCTGCCTCTGGTAGGATCAGATAAGGAGAAACTCATGAAGCTGCTGTCCCTGGTGCTGGATCACACCAGCTTAGCTGTGATCTGGGGGTTCAGCAAACTGCTGCCAGGGGTCTTAACTCCAGGAACACAGTGTTTGAACTGCAGTTTGGTAATTGGGGAGCCTATACCCAAACCATGCCCACACCATCGGCTAGATCCATTATATCTGTCCCCAGGGCTGCTGAATGTAACTGATAGAAGCCAAGTCTCACCTGCAAATAAGTGTGGAAAATGCTGTTTTTACCTTCCCAGTCTCGGCAGTATGGGAGGAAGGCATTCCAGAGGAGGCTGGAACAGATCCTGAGAAAGCTCATCCACAGAATGTTCTAGCACTCTAGGTTATTAATGACAGTGGCTTGAATTTACAGGATTTCAAGTGGGCAAGAGAGGTGCACATAGATTCAGGAAATATTTGGGAATCGAATTGTTAGCACGTGGCAATTGATTGGATCAAAGAGGCGGAAAAGAGAGATAGGAAGGAATCAGGATGACTGTCCAGCTACAGGCTAGGATGAGTCAATCATTCCTGATGCCATTTACTAACATAAGAAAGACCAGAAGAGATGGTTGGGGAGTGACAATGAATTATTTCTGGATGTGTCAATTTGAGAAAACTATGGGACCTTGGTGTCCTAATTTATAGGTCATTTAATTTGTAGATGGACTTGGCCAGTTGTAGCAAGTAGGCCAGTTTCTGCCTGTGGGTCATAATTTTGTGTACAAATCTGTTTATGGTTGAGATTAATTCAGTTGGCCATAGTGCCAAATATAAATAAGTCTAGAATTATATAATGATTATTGTAAGTTTTAGTTTTATATTAAATAGATTTAGGACTTATCACTAGTTCTTTAATCTCATTGTTGAGCAGAGTTTTTCTTTTTCAGAAGGAAGCATGGGTGCCCTATTCCCTAAGTTCTTCTTGTTTCAGAATAGTTGGCTTTTAAATTTCTTTCTGAACAAAACTTGGCAAGGTATACTATTCCTGGATCACACTTTCTAATTCATTTATTTGGTCAGCAGTAGCATTGTTGTGTTCCTCAATTTGTTTCATCTGCGATCTGTCTTTTCATCTCCTTCGGTTTATCATTTGTCTTTGAGCTCTTGTTTTATTAAATTCATGCACTTAATAAGTTCTGGACCGCCTGCCTTCAATTATTTTTTCTTTCAGATTGAGTTCTGCCTCTGCATTTTACTTACTGTGTGTTTCTTTCTTTTATTCCTTTTGCTGCGGTTATGTGTTTAGTTGCTATTATGTCTCCTCGCTTATGCTTAAAAGTGGGCACCTCTCTCCAGACCATCTCTTTACTGAAACATAGTGTAAGTAAACTCTCCTTGACCCCTTCACCATTGTTTCTTTTGTCCCTCTGAGGCAGAGTTTGAGAGCTGGGATATTACAATTCTACTTTTCTGTAGTCTGAAGGGAAAACATCTCTGGAGTTGGGTTCACTTTCTATTTGACCCCTGCTGTCTTTTCTAAGATTTTGTGAAATTATCATAGCCTAGTTTCACTTGTTTGAAGACATATAGTAGGAGATAGGGGTAGGGAAAGATACCCTTAGAGTCTGAATCATTTCACTCTTTCAATTCGGAAAATTTCAAGTCCTGGTGAGGCTTTTGCTTTTTGGGCTTGTTTTGTTTTGTTCACCTTTGCTAAGATCCTGACATAATGGTAGTGGGACATAGACGCTTCTAGTCCCCGAAGTGTTTCCTCAGGCTTTCTCCTGGCTCACTCCTTAGCCCTTCAGCCCAATTTTCTCTAAATTGGGAAGTGTTAGCATTCTTGGGAATTTGCTCTTTGTCTTCTTCCTCCATAGTGGATTCTGGGGGTTGGATTAGGATCTTTGCTTAGCAGAACCACATTGTACACAGCTTCTGGTTCCTTTTAAATAAAGCCTATCATAATAAGGTTATTCCCTCTCTTCTTTTGTTAATTGTTGCTGGTAACATTTTTACCCTTTTAAAAGATACTGTTTTTGACACAAGTTCCGGGAAGAAGAAGATTCTGTAATCTGTTTTATCATAGCACCATCTTTTCAAAGAAGTTCTAAATAGATTTCAGTCATTTATTTTCTAAAGGGGTATGTGTATTTTAATAATGTAAATTCCAGAATAGGAGCATCATGTTTATTTTTTATTTGTATACAGACTTAGAATTTACAAAGTACTTACTCATCTATTATGTTATATAATTCTCTTGACTGTTTTATAAGGTAGGAAGGGCAGACTTTTTAATCTCAGTTTTACTAATGAGGAAACTGAGATACAAAGAGATTGATTTGATGAGTCACACAGCTAATTGTAAGATGGAGTCAAGACTCTGAAGTCAGATCTTCTGACTCCAAAGCCAGGACCATTTTACCATATCCTGTTACTCCCTTTACTGAAAACGATTCCCTCCATCCTTACCCACACATGTCTTACTCCATCTTTAATATTCCTACCAAACTTTTAACACTGACTTAAACTGAGTTAAAGCCAAAAGTAGGGTGGGGAAATAATCTTGCATGACCATTGTATTCTGATCCTGAATTAACCTCAGGATTTCTTGGTTATAATAAAGCTGATATCAGGTCTTATCATTTTTTCCTTCTCTGATTTGTAGAAAATTGCTCAGCTTTCTCGGTAAAATCAGACCTAGATCCTCCAAGGCGGGCAGTGGAGACAGGATTTTCCACATGGGAAATTTGACCTGGTGGGCCCTAGTTTCACCTCTATAACTCACTTTCCTCTTGGTATCTTCTGCTTTTTATTCCTGCCTTGATCAAGGAACTTGTATTCCTCGTTTGCCATTTACCACTTTTTCACAAGATTGTATTCTTTTTTTTTTTTTTTAAGATTTATTAATTTATTTGGGGGGCGGCGGGGAGGCAGAGGGAGAAGGGGAAAAGGAATCTCAAGCAGCCTTCTCCACCTAGCATGAAGCCCGACAGGGGGCTCGATCTAATGGCCCTGAGATCATGACCTGAGCAGAAATCAAGAGTCGGACACTCAACAGACTGAGCCACTGAGGCACCCCACAAGACTGTATTCTTCACTCTTCTACAAAGACCTTATATTATAGCCAATGAGACTACACTGGAACATTCAAATAAAGCATCACTGAAAAAGCTGGATTAACAGCTCACATACAACTAGATTTTTTGTTGTTGTTTGTAAGTTGTCTTCTCTGATGGTCAGAAACTGGCCATCTTCCTTCCGTCTTCCCATCTGTCACCAAGGAACATGTGCTTAGATATATGCCTTTGATGATGACACCCAAGAAAGCAAGTTCTACAGAGTTATTAGACTTCTCTCTGTAATCCTGTGGTGTCTACTTTTCTAGGTTCTCCTTTCCTCCCTAAGTCTATTCTTCTATAACGATTAACAGCAGGCATGGTGACCATCTTTAGGACAAACTCTTCTCCTGTCCACAAGAATGTGGTTTTATTGTGGCCTCAAAAGAGCAACCGTATGAGATCACAGATACACAAATAGTTCATCGGGCAAATAGATAGATGGAGATGATATTAGTATAGGGCTGTAACAGTGTTGTTTACTGGAGTTCTGAAGAAGTTCGTAGTTCATATGCTAGTGGCTTAAGCTGACACTGTTTTTTTATCCTTCTAGGTATCATGAACTGATTACAAAATATGGGAAGTTGGAGCCTTTGGCAGAAGTGGACCTAAGACCCCAGAGCAGTGCGAAAGTAGAAGTCCACTTTAACGATCAGGTGGAAGAAATGAGCATTCGTCTGGACCAGACAGTTGCAGAACTAAAGAAACAATTAAAAACTCTAGTGCAGTTACCCACAAGCAACATGCTTCTCTACTATTTTGACCATGAAGCACCCTTTGGCCCAGAGGAAATGAAGTATAGCTCTCGGGCACTGCATTCTTTTGGCATTAGGGATGGAGATAAAATTTATGTGGAATCCAAAACAAAATAACCTCGACCAGCCTTGTAAAAAACACATATATAAGGACTTCTTGCAGGGCATTTGTTTCCAATGTGGTTTCCTTTAGGAGGGAGAAAGTTGTTTTTGTTTTGTTTTGTTTAGGTTTTTGGGGGGGGGTTGTATATTTTTTTCCCTCTAGGATGGGTAGGGGGCTGTTTTTGGTATTTTCTACCACAGATTTCTTCAGCTCAGCCAGCAGAATTGGCCACATCTCCAGTCCATGTGCCCTCCCTCATGAAAGATGACCAAGAAATCACCGACTTCTTACTGTGTTCACTGGGCTGTGCCTACCGCTTGGTTATCACGACCATTTAGGTATATTTGTGAAGATAGCGTGAACAGTGTGTCCCCCCTCAGAAGGGCAACTTGTGGGATTGAAGTCTGGAGCAGGGATCTTGAAAGGAAGGGCCAGCACTTCTCTCCCCCAGTTCTTGCGCTGTCCCTCCCTCTCTCCCTCCTTTCCTGTTGTGGTTCAGTTTTTCATTTTGACTCATGTCAGCACGTGTTCACCTAATAGTTTTATCCTGCCCATAAGTAACTTCTCATTTCTCAGTGTGGGCAATTTTTTCTTCATTTCTCCCTTTTGAAGTAATTGTAGTGCTTTAAGCATTTTCAACCTGATTCTGAATTCTCAGGTATTCCGTGAGAACCTGGAACTCTGTTAGGATCTTGAAGAGGAGCCGACGGAGAGTTAAAACCCCGGGAAGACTCGCTGCTGCCCTGTCAGCACAGGCTGAGCAGCCTGGCCCCCTGTACGTACCCAGGCCCATGTCTGCGTCCTGCACACCTGACGCCCACCCCCACTTCCATAATCCAAAACGTGTCACGTGCCCCAGTTCTTTTATTCTTTCTTGTCCAATGTATTTCCTCATCTCTAGCTGTCTTTCTCATTACTCTAAACCACTGGGACTAGAGGCCTGACTTTCTGAGGGACCCAGGAGAGTAAAGGATACACGTGCCTGGAGAGCTGGGAGTTAGAGAGCCGACTGTCCTTGGTGCGTGTGAGGGAGTAGAGTGGGAGAGAAGTCCAGCCATCCAGGAGAAAGCGAGCTGTGACCTTCCTGCCCGTGTCGTCATTTGAAGCCCTGGCTCTTGCACTTTGCATTACAAGTGGGAAAGCTTAATCAGAGGGACTTCTGATTCCCAGTTCTTCCCTGGGATTCTGTGATGTCGTCATTGGACAGTTCTTTTTGTTTTACATTTCAACTCAGCTGCCCCTCCCGAAGAACAACTCTGCCTAATCTACGAGTAAAGTCTAAGTGTCAAAACTTCAGAATTGCCTCCAAGTCATATTTTTTGCAGAAGCATATTTAAGCACTTTTCTTTAAAAGCCAGTTCCTCACCTGCCCTGAAATCTTTGCATTTGTTCTTGTAGTCCTTCGTTAATCAGGTTTACCCCTTTCTGTGATAGGTGTCTTTCTTGGTCCACGGTGTTTACAGATGGGAGACTCGGGGACGACTTGGCATCATTAAGGGCAGGCGATGTGCACATGAAGTATTTTTTCCAAGAATGTAATCATTATCTGATTGCATTTGACCTTTTGACCTTGTTATAGGATTCCACCGCTCCTACAAAATTCTTTAATTTCGTAACGAAATTTTTAGATAACTCTTGTAAATTCTTCACTTCTGCAGAGTTGTGATTATTATTGCTATTTTTAAATTTTTCCTATGCCATAACAGCAGATGTTTATTCTCTTAATGCACTTCAGGTTCAGGATCTGTAAAGCCTTTGACCCAGGCTTACTGAGTCAAGTCTTCATTCACTGTAACGTTAAAGGTGGAAACCAAAGGGTTTGAGAAAGATGAATGAAGCCTGTTCTCCTTCTGCTGCCGACTTGATCTTTCAAAATCCTAAGACTGAGCAATGGAGATCCAGGCTGGGTAGAGACAAGAATAATTATTTTGCAGTCACATTTTCCTGACAGATTTTTGGAAGTTGGAAAAAAGTGTGGAAGCAGTGTCATGAAGATAAAAACTGTGGGTGCTTTGTGTATGTGCGCATGAGTGCAGACGAGTTTGAGAGAGAAACTGTGTAATTGAGCCTGTCCCTTTTGTCAGCCTGGGAAACAGATGCACTCTTATTTTTTGAGGTAGTATGACCCCTGATTGTCCCACAGCAGAAGGCAGAGCAAACACTTGGGTTGTGCTTTAATCATAAGTGGAATGGTCACAATTAATAAGATATTTTATATATGACAAAGTTTTATGAAATGCTTTTTTACTATTAGAGACCTGTTCCTTCTGTTATGACAGAACACAGCGTCCATCAACTGCAGGATAATTCCTCTATTATACAGTTGCATGTCAGGGGAATGTCTCATCAAATTCAGTGGATGTGGGTATTTTTAGGGCGTTGTAATTGATGGTTTTAATAATTGCTGAACAATTTTTGATTGAGACAAAGTCTAATGCAATTACCGGTCTTTTAGAGCTACAGAACAGAAGTAAAAGAGAAAAGCTATTTGAGCATGTGTACTTGTAGATTTATTTGGGCGGCTGAGTAAAGATGCTGCTTTTGAAATAAAATTGGTGCTGTGTAGACACTTGTAACCCAAATTATTTTTGTAACAGGCCAAAAAGAAGGAGACATGAGACCATGGACCTTTGAGTCTAAAAGTTATGCATAATAGATGGCCACAACTTCTCTGTATTTTAATATTGACTTCATCCACATATAGCGAGAGCCTATTATTGGCATTTATAAGGCAACACGCTGTCAGAGCCAGTATTACAGATATGTTGCTGCAGGCACAGTGTATAAAACATATCTTTTCTAAAATAGAAATTCTTTTCAGTGGAGAAAAAGGAAAGGAGTAATAGAAGAAAGCCAGATCAAAACCAAGGGATCCTCTGTGCCCACATGTAGCTGCCGAAGCCACAACAGAAATCAGCTTTCGAAATGGAATTATTGAAATATCCCAGATTGCTTTAAAGGAGGGAAAAAAAAGTTTAGAGTCCCGTGTCTTTTAGGATTATTATTATTATTATTAAGTTTCTATTGTTTCTGCAACCTATTGCCACCATGTCCATAAACACATAAGAAAGCAGCAGATATCCTACAACACCTTGTTTCTTGAAGACCTTTGGGTGAAAAGAAGCCCAAAACATGAGCTATGTGTAACAGAGCCACATGTTATGATGCTATGTCCTAAAACTTTGTTCACTTAAAGAAATGCAAGTTCAGTCCTCACCAGATGTTTCAGCTCTGTTGCTAAGTCAGCAGTGTCCCGACCAGAGAACACTGGCTGCGCGAGGAACTGACCCCCATCCGAGGCACGCCGCTGATGGCTCTTCCTAATGCACGTGTGAGCATGACTTGCTCCGTGGCAAGTGCTGGGCTCTAGAGCACATAAAACAGGAATACAAAATAATAGATTGTTCTAAGCAATGTCATTTCTGTTTATGAATTTTGATTTTTCCCTGCATTTCATGTTAGATTGAAAACGCAAAACAAACTGCTTTCCAATACCCCCAGAAGCTATCTGTGTTACCAGATGTGTTGCGAACACTCTATTTTTCATAGGTGCTTCCTTTACTATAATATGTCCATTGTAGTGATGGAGAGGGACTGGGTTCTCTCAGGCTCTTTACTTGCCAGTTGTCTCCTGCAGCTAATGGAAATATATATTTTATTTTAGAGTATAATTTAAACATGAAGGTCTATTCTTTGCACTTTTTATTAATGCGTATATATATATAGAGATAATCTTTAAAAAAAATTAAAAATCCAAGTCCACTTTCTCTTTGTGTTCTGATTTTTTCTGGAGTTCTGGGGTCAAGATACGTGCTTATTTTTATATAGCTAAAGGTTGACATCACTGCTATGGTTGAGTCCTCTGGGGAATTGGCCAAAGCTGGAAAGACTTGGACCATTTTGACAAATTTCATTGGAATTTCGCCAGTTAGAAATGAAAACTGCAAAACAAAGATTTGTAGGAAGCGTGTCATTGCTTTTGGGTTAGCAAGTTCTTATACTTGCAACATGTAGTTGATAATTCCTTTTTATCCTTTTAAGGATAACGACCTCCCTTTGAGATACTTGGCATCCTCTTTTTTGAGTAAGGATGAAAACCTCAATTTAATGCACTAAAAATTTACATTTCTTTCAAGTGACACTTTTGTGCCTTCAGAAAATAATCTTCTGTAAGAATTAGAGTTTTGGACACTTAACCCCTACCCGCTTGTCAATAATTTCTTGGTAAGCTGTAGTGAGTTAACCTTACATCAAGAATGAAGGTCCAAGAACTGTACTTTATTTCTGTATTTAGAAGGCAGAGTCCATTAACTTCTCTCTCAGTGCTCCAGAAGGGTGTGAGTATCATGATCTGTTTAAATTTAAATATTTCTGCCTCTTACTCAAATTTCAAAGAGTATACTTTTAACTTCTATACTAAATGCTATTTAGTTAATATTTATTGTGAGCCTCTCCGAGTATACTTACAAAGTAGACATATGTCAAGACATCCAGTACCCACTGGACTGAAAGATACTGTGACTCCCACCAGTTACTAGAATGCGTGTAAATCAAGAAAGTTAACCTTCAAGAAATGAAGTCACTTTCTCAAAAAAAAAAAAAAAACAAATGAAGTCACTTTCTCTTTCCAACTCTCCTCTGGAAAGGAAGTTAGTTATCTGTGGTCTCCAACTTAGTTTAGAGCTCAAATTCAGCCAGATAACTTTTATAACCTGTATGGGTCATTTCATACACTTTTAACTTTTTTTTAAGATTTTATTCATCAGAGAGAGGCGAAGCCAGAAGGAGAAGCAGGGTCCCTGCTGAACAGGGAGATAGGACTCGGAGCTCCATCCCAGGACCCTGGGATCATGACCTGAGCTGAAGGCAGACGCTTAACCAACTGATACCCAGGCACCCCCATCTACTTTTAACTTTTTAATGTCACCAGGATTTAGGAACTGAGTTAATCCATGATTAAAGTATGATGAATTTTTTATTCCTCTCCTTGAAAAATTTGAAACTAACACTGGAAATCTTTAGCTTTTTTGTTTGTTCTAACAAACATCTATTAAAATGGTCAAATACATATATTTGCCTATATATATATGAATATATACAGAAGAGGTTCTTGTGCTAGCCTCCCACCTTACTCTGAACTAAATAGAACAACACAACTGGGGGTTTTTACTAATACAGTTTAGCATTATTCTGCTGAGTCAGTGGCCTTTTTACAGCTATATTTCAAAACACTGAAACGGTGACCTAAATAATAATTGATCCTAACAGAGCAAACTAAAGAAAGGAAATCAGTTCTTAAAATAAGAATTACTAATAACTGTTTAATATTTTGTCTGATGCTTTTCTTCAGTGTGGCTTAGGCACCTGAATAATTGGCTTGCACTCTATTTGAAGGCACACATATTAAGAGGGGAGTAACAAACTCGTAACCCAGGAGGAAGGAGAACCATAAGGGGATAGAGTTGCTGGTTGTATGAATCCTTGCCAGGGGTCCAAGCTTACCATGTGTGTTTCTCACGTTTCTTGTAAACACTAATAATGAGCATTTATTATCAACCAGGACCCATTCTAGATGCTCCACCTGTAGTAAACCCATTTGGTCTTCATGACATCCCTATGAGGTTAGCACTGTTGCTATCCCCATCTTCTTACTAGTGAAGAGATTGAGACACGGATGGGTTAAGTAACTTGCCAAAAGTCACACAGTTGGGTAGCAGAGCCAGGATTCAAACCCAAGGAATTTGGCTGGGGAATCCAGGCATTTGACATCTATTATGTAGTACTTGGCTGCTAAAATTCTCCATAACCCTACACTAGCACACACACACACCTTTATTGTCAGTCTTTAAGTCTCATTAAAACGAGATGTTCCTCAATATCCATTTGCTAAATTGACTTGCTCTATAACAAAGTCACTGATGTGGCTGATGGCTCTAAATCCAAATTGGAATTTGTCCTCAGGCCACCTGCAGAATTGTGAGATGACCATTGGTATGTACCTACTGTCCTCCCTGCCCCTCTGACGTGCCACTTGGACACTTGTGATGGGTGCTGTTGACAAGAATAAATGAGACAATAATATGCAAGAAAACTGAGAATTTGGTTTTTAACATAAGGACATTCTAGAGCCTTAAAACTTTGTTTCAGTAAACAGTCAGAGGTGAGAGAGGTCACTCAGGTCAGACTCAGACTTCTGTCAGAGGCAAGAGTGTTTAAGTAGACTTAAAATGGGTGTATATAGAGGGGAAAAAGTTTTATAATTGCGAACTGTTGCAAATGTTTTGTTACAGGAAAGGACGAGACTGTCACTGCTATTGTTCCTCCTTAAAATGTAAGTGAACGCCTTGTGAAGAATATAAATGTTGCTTACAAAATAGAGGAGACAGGCTATCTATTATGGTCTGCAAGATCTAGATCTGCCAAAAAAATTACAATGCAATTTCAGTTTGTCAAGTCTTACACAGACTCTTCATCCTTGAATGCTTCGTAGTCACTGTAAGTAATACAATTAAGGTGTTAAACAAATGAGAATAAGAGGAGGCAGACATCAAAAAATACAGACAAAAGAGAAAAAAATGTTTTCTGAAATATCTGATATATTTGAGGGCAGATGTAAGATTTACTCCACTATTCAAGAGTAGAAACGGGACATTATGAATTGCTTTGGCTGTGTTAAAATTTTGTTTGGTTTGATTTTCAATTTGTTTGCAGAAAGAAGTCTCTTCAAAAACCATTTGAATTTATTTTCTAAATAAAAAATATTCACATGCTTCAAAAAAAATCAAACAACGTAAAGATGGTATACATTGGAAAATCCCACTCTAACTCCCTGTCCTTCACCTTTTATTGGTTTCTTATGTGTCTTTCCAGAGTTCACACAAATAATAGCAAATAATATATATTGTTCCCCTTTTATACAGCAAAGTTAGTGTATTATACACTAACATGCGCCTTGCTTTTTTCACTTGAAATATATCTTGGAGATCTCTCCATAGCGGTATACAGGGAATCACACTATCCTTTGTTTGCAATATAATATATAATGTTCCATTTATAGACATAATTTATAATTTGTTTGACTCAAACCTCATTGATAGATATTTGAGTTTTTCTTCTCCGTCCCTCTTTCTCTCTCCCTCCCTCCATCCCAATCTCCCTCTCTTTTATTTCCTATGTTCAATGTGCTGCAGTAAACAGCATATATTCATATTTGAAATGAATCTATAGAATACATTTTTAGAAGTGGGATCATTGGATCAAAAGGTCAAAGTGTTTACAATTTGGGTAGATATTGCCAAATTGTTCTCCATGAGAGATACATAAAAAGAATTTTTTTTTTCCTGGCTTTATTATTTGTCACATCCCTGCAAAGTCAAAGACTACTGATCTTGTTCTTGATGTATGAATGCTGGTTTGTGCAACTAAGGTAGGGTCCTACCCAATTAGGCATGCAAAGCTTGGCACCTGAATTCAACACATAGATGTGCATGAGTCATGCACATTGTCTATCTTAGGAGCCATCTTTCCTCTGGAATCTAATTTTTAATCATTGGTGAGATTTCCCCTCTGCAGGAGAAGGTACATGTATTATTTATCCGTAACAATGTATGAGCATTTGTTTCAGCTGAGTGCTCTTGAAAATTGATGGATTAATAGCCCTGATACCCTGTGCTTATTGTCTACAGGAAGCTTTGATCAGAGCTGCTTCTTACAGATCAGTGAAATTCTTTTAGAGGAACTACTTGGTTCTACGTGGTGAATAGGGAATATAGTGTGTCTGCACCCCCCACCCTTTCCAGCTTTATTGCTAATGTGCTGGCAAGGATGTTAGAATAATACCAATTGTAAGCTTTTTTGATTATATGGGTCTCCTTAGAATTAACTATTCCAAACTCCTTGGCTAGATACAGATGCTAAAGTTGCTTTCAGAAAATATCTTTGAACGCTTATTTGGATTTCAGAGATGACCATCTTTTATTAGATCTTAGATCTAGAAAATCTTGCTGATTAGTTAATAAACATTAATGTCATTCAGTGTGGTTTTCAAAGAGCCAATGCCACTTTTCGTATAATTAAGCCATATTTCTTAGCTTAGTCCAAGCTCAGGGTCTAGAATGAATAAGGCCAGCCCAAAAAAGAAATAATCCTTAAAGGCAAATAATATTAATTCTTTAAAAAACAGATTCCAGATCATTTGTGCTACAATTTGAACCCCTGATGTTTTCTGCTTGCAGTTAAGTGATTATTACCATGATACTAATATATATGAAAAAATTTTTACATCAGGTTTTTTTTTGTTTTTTTTTTTTGCTTTTAAGAAACAAAACTAGGGGCGCCTGGGTGGCTCAGTTGGTTAAGCAACTGCCTTCGACTCAGGTCATGATCCTGGAGTCCCGGGATCGAGTCCCACATCAGGCTCCCTGCTCAGCAGGGAGTCTGCTTCTCCCTCTGACCCTCTTCCCTCTCGTGCTCTCTATCTCTCATTCTCTCTCTGTCAAATAAATAAATAAAATCTTAAAAAAAAAAAAACTGAATGGCTTGTATCAAAAAGACAAGAAGTAACAAGTGTTGGTGAGCATGTGGAGAAAAGGGAACCCTCGTGCACTGTTGGTGGGAATGCAAACTGGTACAGCCAGTCTGGAAAACAGTATGGAGCTTCCTCAGAAAACTAAAAATAGAAGTACCATAGGATTCAGTAACTCCACTTCTGAGTATTTACCCGAAGAAAACAAAAA